GGGGGGGGGGGCACGCGGCGGGGCGTGCCAGCCGCTGCTGGGAGGGGGTCGAGAAAAGCATCCCGGGGAGTGCATGGGCGAAAGGGTCCCATAAAGGCACCTGAACGACGAGAATCGCACTGCAACCTGGCAAAAACAGGCCCCAAGATGCAGATTTGCAGCTTCAAGATCGCGCCAACCAGCAGCCCAGACGGCTGCCATGATTGATGGCGGCGTCACGAGTCACGCACCTAGCACATAACCCAGGACGCTGAGTTGGAGCACGCAGCGCACGGCTGCAAACAGCAGCTGCGTGTGCAGCCCCAGCTGGAACCTGGGCGGGCGTGAGGATCGCGCGGGGTGGGGCGAGGCTCTGCGCGCGTGGCCCGGGCGTGGCAGGCGTGCCGGGGGACAATGGGAAGGCGGGTCGTGCGACCAGCGACCGTGCGGCCGCGCACCTGAGCGATACGAGCGCCTGGACCACAATCAGCGCTGCCGCCAGCGCAACCTCCGTCGGTGACAGGGACAAGACGCCCGCCCCGGCGTCGCCGCCTCGCCACATGGTCCCGACCGTCACGGGTGCGCTGGCGAGCTGGGGGCTTGGACCATGTGAGGGGGCAAGCCATACATGGCTGATATCCATTGCGATGACTCTACGCCTCAGAAAGTGACGGGTGCGTTCACCGCAGATCACTGCCTGCTGGACTCGCAAGTGCGGCCTCAGACACGGATGCAGACTTGACATACGTACGCCAAGAACATGCTTTCAATCAAATACCTATGACAGCCCCCTGCGGACCTGCTTTTTATACTGTAAGGCGATCGCTTCGTCGACACCGTTGCGCGGCACCCTGCAACTCGCACAGTATGACGGTGCAGAGTCCTCGACTACCATCCTACGCCGGCAGCTGGGTCTAGACCCGATTGTCTTGAGGGCGGCGACAAGTGTGAGAGCGCGGACGCCCGCCCACCGCGCGGGCACACGCCTGCTTGCAGCCACCCACGCCCAGGCGACCACGCGATGGGGTCGTTCCTAGGCGTGACGGCCGTGCAGTGGCAGAACGGCACGCGCGTGGCGGTCGGCGTAGTCATTCTCGCCAGCCTCGGCCTGACCCTGGCACACTACACCCAGATCGACCCCCGATGGTGAGCGGCCACCGGCCTTTGCTCCCCTGCGCGCTGCATATTTGTGTGCCCATGCGCGGTGCCGACGCCATACAGCCCTCGACCAGCCGCGTGTCTTGCCATGGCGTCGTCGCCGCGGCTCCTCTTGTTGCAGCCACTCACGAACGCAGCTGCACTGCAATTCAAACCCAGGGACATCGTGCACCCAGAGGCGGTCTCAAACGGCCTGCAGGCGAGCCCGGCCGACGGTCTGCTGCGGTGTTCAGCAGGGACGGGCGCAACGCATGCGTGCGGCAGCCGCGCCGCGCGTGTCTTGCTCGCTCCGCGCGGTTGGGCAGCGAGCGGCTTTGCCGAGGATCGAAACCAGGGGGCCACGCATGCGTCTGGCGTACCCGCATGCGGCTGGCTCACGCCCGTCCCTCTTTTCCCCTTGCTTTCGGCGCCCATCTCAGTGGAGTGCGATCACTGTCATCCTCGTGGCGTCGCCGCTGGTGGGTGCGGTGGCCAAGACGGGCATCGAGCGCACCATCGGCACTATTGCAGGTGCGCAAGTTGTGCGAGCAGGAAGGGCTGTCATGGGCGCGGCGGCGAACCAGTCGGTTCAGCCACGAGTGCGCACACGCGCTGGAGCCTCGTCAAGTGCTGCGTCGCCGCGTGCCCGGCTAGCCTCCCCCCCGCCGCCCCTCCCTGCCCCTCTCAGCCGCTCACCCCCGGCCCCCATCATCACCCGTCACGGTGCGCCCTGACAGGCGGCCTGCTGGCAATGGGTGCGGTGTACGCCAACTCCCTGCCCCTCCTCTGCGTCCTCGCCTTTGCCGCAACCCTCGTCGGCTACCTGGCAGGTCTGCATCTCGCTTGTATTTGTGCATAACAGTCTATCGCATGTTCTGTCACAGTCGTGTCGCGTAGTATGGGGTCCAGGGTCCATCTCCCTGCCCGCCCGCTCTTGCGCCCTCCATTTGCCACACGGCGAACCGGGGGCTGGGGCAGGAGCCGGGGACACGCGCCCCTCCCCGTCCCCCATGGAGGGGAGGCGTCGACAGCACCCGCACCCGCCCCAGCAGCGGGCGACCCCGCTCCCCTGCGAAACACATACTATATCCGGCTCCGGCATGCCGCAGGCGCCAAGTACGGGCGTGAGTACAGCGGGAAGCTCTTCCCCCTGACCTACCTCATCGTGGGCTCTGCCGGCGTGCTCACCAAGGAGCCAATCCCCATCATGCTCGCGCGCATCACGGGCATCCTGCTGGGTGCGGGGGCGGATATCCCGGGCCGCCCTGCGGGGGGGCACGCGGCCGGGCACCTGTCGCTGCCGCCGCAGGCGGCAGCAGGCGCCGGCGCGCAGGGTAGGCGGGCCGAGCTGGAGGGTGGGTGGTGGCTGCAAGCCTGCGGCCTGCCACTATGCCATTGGGCCGCGGCGGTCCCCACTCTCGCGGCGTCCGTCGCATTTCGCCTGCCCCCTCCCTTCGCCCCCCGCTCCAGGGATCGTCTGCATGTTTGTGCTCTCGATGGTCTGGTTCCCCCGCAGCGCGAGCGACAAGGTGCGGCGGGAGCGGCAGCCGCAGCCCTGTCAAGGCCCGGGCGCTTGATCGGCCGCCCTGGTGCTGTGGGTTGCGCAGCCCGGTCCCGCTGGCTTGCGGAAGGCCGTTGCGCTGAACTGCACCTGGGGGCCGCAGTCCTGCGCCCTCCCATGCCGTTGGCGCCACGGGATATGGGTTGGGCCACTTCAAGGCATGAGCCATCAGCTTTTCAACCCCTTAGGAAGTTCAGCCACTTCTTGGCTTGGAACAAACAGTGCACGCACGTGCGCGCACGCATGTGCGCACACACACACACACACACACACACGCGTGCGCACACACACACACACACACACACACACACACACACACACACACACACACGCGTGCGCACACACACACACGCGTGCACACACACACAC